TTCTCACTGTCAAAAACATATCAGTATTCCACAGGATAGTCAGACGGTATATTTTTCACTGTGTCAAAAATGTGAATTTTGAATGAGATGTTCAATAGGTGAGAAGTCAATGTATACCACAATCCTAAATAATAGTTCTTCACTATAAAATTCCATTGACAACAATTTTAACTTTTCGTAGAGCATTTCACCATACTAGCATTAATTAAACCTTTATACTAAGCATTTGGTTCAACAATTAAAATGGTGTCTCATATTTTGTCTGGCCTTGTCTGATTGAGTTCATCTTTGATAGAGGATTCCTTAACATAAAGATTGACTGTTAAGACCCACCACATGCACTCCAAGGGTAAAAGATATAGCAATTTGCAGCCAATAAAATTTATAGCCTTAAAAACCATAAAAGCAATTCTACTTCACATAGACCTGCTAGGAGTGGAAGCAACTCCCAAGAAATTGGCATGTTTGCATAGTGAATGATGGGGGGAGTGCGGAGTGGAGATCCAAAGCCCATTAGTAGGCCACTGGAGATCCCCTTGCAGAGGGGTCTCGGGGAGGAGAGGAGCCAGTCAGGGTGCGATGTAACAATGATGAGAAATATAATCTTCCTCTAGTTCCTAAAGGTTTCCTCCCCGCTCCCACTACCATGACTCGAATTCTATCTTGCAAGACTGGCTAGACCAGAGGAGGTACACTGGTACAGATGGGAACTGAAAATACAGGGAATCCAGGGCGGATGAGCCCTATAGGACCAGTGGTGTGAGTGGCAAAACAGGGAGGGTAAAGGGAGAATGGGTAGGAAAGAGGGAACCGATTACATGGAACTGTGTGTGACCTCCTCCCTGGGGGACAGACAACCGAAAAGTGGATGAAGGGAGACGTCGGACAGGGCAAGATATGACAAAATACCCATTTATAAACTATCAGGGGCTCATGCGGGAGGGGGGAGCGGGGAGGGAGGGGAAAAATGAGGACCTGATGTCGGGGGTTTGGATGGAGAGAAAATGTTTTGAGAAACGATGTACAAATGCGCTTTACACAATTGATGTGTGTATGGATTGGGATAACAGTTGTATGAGCCCCTAATAAAATGTTAAAAAAGAAAAAACAAACAAACAAACAAACAAAGAAAAAGTGTATACATGAAAAAAAAAAAAAGAAATTGGCATGTTTGAGGTTTTTTTGTGCATGTCTGATGTGCGTGTGTTTTGCACCACTGATGATTTATATTTCAGCAGACAGAACTATATTAATCCATGCTTCTGTATTAAAATCACTTAACAAAATCAACATTACAAGAGTCCTGGAGGGTTGTCAGGTAGTAATAGAGTCTCAATTTCAGAGAAATCAGCAAAAGTGGTCAATTTAATCCCAATGAACAAAGGTGTTTTCCTCAATTCTGGACATTCCACAAAGTCGTCTACCTCCTCCTCTATTTACTAAATAATTGATCAAAAGAGTGTGGAGTGTTAGTTGATTTATTTGTTTGTATGCTTTGTCATTATCAATTTGTGGGGTTTTTCTCCATTTTATTGTGGTAAAATATCATTTTAATTGACAAATAATCATTTTAAGTGTACAATTTGGTGAAATTAATTAACATGTGTACCGCCATAATTATTATTGATTTGCAAATTTTTTCATCACTCTACACAGAAACTCACCTATTTTTCTCCTGGTCTCATCCTCTGTCAAACACCAATAAACAATGGCCTCCATGCATTTTGCTGTTCTAGATAATTCATGAAAATGGGATAGTATATTATTTGAATGTGTTGACCTTTGTGGTAAGCCTAATGTTCTCAAGGTTAATGCATATTGCTCCTACATGTACCACAACTTCAGTTCTTCTCATAACTGAATGCTATTCCATTGCATGGATATGCCGCATTCTTTTATCTATTGATGGTGGATGTTTTCGCTTGTTGCTATTTTGAATAATTATTCAATGTATAAATGTCTATTTAAATGTCTTTCAGTTCTTTGGAGTGTATAGATTGGAATGGAATTCCTGGGTCATATGGTAACTCTCTGTGTAACTTTTTGAGGATCCATCAAACTTTTCCCCAGAGAATGTGTTTAGCTACATACTCACCAGCAATGAGTGAAGGTTCCAATTTTCCTTATCCTCACCAAGACTTAGTACTTTCCATTTATCTAATAATAACCATCCCAATGGGTATTGTTTGTTTCTAAAAGGATTAGATTCTATCAGATTTTTTATAAAAAAAACACAAATATGCTAAGAAAAGTTTCTTTCAGAGGGTCCAAATTTTGTGCTGAATAAAGTAATATGCGAGCATACTTTCTTTAAATAATTCTAAAAATAATCTTTTATTTTACTATAGATGGAACATTTATTTATACTTTAACGAAGCATTTTAAGATTCACCTTCTAGATTCTTATCTAGTTGGTTTTAACTCATTGTGACCCCACACGTTGCAGCACAGAACTGCTCCATAGGGTCTTTTTGGCTGTATTCTTTACAGGGCAGATTGTCAGGCCTTTATTCCTTGGCACCACTGAGTGGACTTGAGCTGTCAAAGTTAAGGTTAATAGTCGAGTATAAGCCATTTACACCACCCTGGAACTTTCTTCTAAAATAATGGTTTCACATTGTAACAGTAATAAGTAACATAACATATGCACACCTGATGATCAGCATTTATTTTTTGACAATTATATACATAGCATTTCATGTAATATGCCCACAACACTAATTATACAGATTAAATTATGTTACAAAATAAATACTGAAATAGTCTGGCATTTTACTCACTGGTGTTGAAATTCATTTACTCTCACTTTAAAAATTGTTATTAATGTTTTTAAAAGCAGTAAAAATTGAATGTGCTTTGTATTTGTTTGCAAAATATTGGTTCAAAAGATGCTCCAGTTATATATTGGTAATCAATAACGCACACTGTTGTGAGTTGAATTGTGCTCCCCTCAAAAGATATGCTGAAGTCCTAACTGCCCATACCTGTGAAAATGATCATATTTGGAAATAACGTCCTTTCAGGTATAATTAATTAAGATGTATTCATGCTGGTTTAAGGTGAGTGTTAAATCCAGTTTGATAGGTGTTCTTGTAAGAAGAGAAGACAATACAAGACAGGTTCACAGGGAAGAAGGTTAGTGTAGACATAGGCTGAGACTAGAGTGATGCGCCTACAATCTAAGAACACCACGGATTTCCAGAAATCCCCAGAAGCAGGAAGAGGCAAGGAAGGATTCTTCCCCTAGGCCTCAGAGAACATGGTCAAGCCGGCATCTGGGTTTCAGGCTCTGGACTCCAAAGTCACGAGCTGATCAACCTGTGCTGGTTCAAAGCACCAGCTATTGGTACTTAGGTATTACAGTCCTGAGCAGGGGGTGGGTGGGGGATACTGTTGTTGCCATTGAGTGCATTCCAACTCCTAGCGACCTAGAGCATTT